GAGACCCAAACCAGATCAGCCTGATTGCAGAGCTCCTGGGCTGTGCCTGCTTCTTCAGGCATGTGCTCTGTGTACACACATCTCATTGTCCTTCAGCCAAGAACCATGGGAGGCTTTGAGGTGCAGAGGGAGGACCTGGGCTAAGAGACGAGGGATCTTGGAGAGCTGTCGTCTGCTCCTTGGTGGCTATTTAGTAACTAACCGACCACAGGGCTGATACTCTTTCAGGGCTCAGTCTTCTAGTTGGTAAAGGTGGGTGTTCTGTAAGGAGAAAATGCTTTATAGAACTCTAAGGTTTTATTTAAGTGTCAGGGCTGTCTTTTGTTGTATGCATGCAGTTTACCAAACACTGGGTATACTACAGTTCTTTTCTTCCACAGTTTACACAGAGTATTCTACAATTCCTGCTCCCTCCACATGGAGCTATTTTCAGTTCAATTCTAAAACTTAGCTACCATTTATGGAGCCCCTACTATGGGGCAAGTGCTTTACCTACAACAAATATACGTACATTATCTCTAATCCTCATGCCAACTCAACAAAAGGGGTATATTACTATCTCCACTTCACAGATGATGAAACTGAGGCTTGATGAAGTTGAATAATTCGCCTACATTTGCATAAGTAATGCAGGATTTGAACCCGTCTTTCCGACTTCTAAGTGGGTGCTCTTTTTCACCACATCATGGTGCAGTTGAGGTTTTAACTTGCTGTGAACTAGATGGGTCTGGGGCAGGAACTCTGAAACTGAACTGATAAGGAGCCCCTGCCCTTTCTTAGCTATGCTCTGAGCAAGGCATTTAGCCTTTTGTGGCCTTGATCTCATTGTCCATTGGCAAAATGACTTTCAGTTCTAGGATTTGAAGCTGCTGCTTGCTGATGTTTTCCTAAATTGCCTCACAGCTCAACTGAGGCATAGAAAGCTGTGTTGGCTATTTTGGTTTAGAATAGTCCACTGCAGAGAGCTGCACAAATTATGTAAAAATACAGATTTGACTTCAGACGCTAACCTTGCTCACTACCATGAGCCAAGGCATCAGAAAAGTGGCATACTGACATCATGTCCTTCACAATCATCTCCTGACACAAAAGTTACCCTTTTTAAAGATTTTTTCTTTCTATTTAAAAAAAAAAACTTTTAAAAGATTTTTTTTCCTAACAATACCTGTTCTACCCTTAAATTACTCTGTTGTTCATGATATTTTGAAAGATCTAACCTCTTCTTACAATGCTTAGACTTTTGACATGAGATTCCTAACACGCCCGGAGAATATGCATAAATCATCAGATTTCTTAAAAAGAAAAATGTATTCAGGCTGAAAGATATAAATCTAAATCTTCTGGGTACCACTCTAAAGTAGAGGTTCTATCCCAAACCAAAGTTTTATAAATAATAAACATAATATGCCATCGAAACTCTCTTCCATTAGCTCGTAAGATCGTTACAGTGGGACAATATTCTTAAGACCTATATGGACCTGGCATGTACTCAGTCCTTAAGGAATAAATCATGCTGTGGAAATGTGACAACAGGAGGATCCTATCACCAATCACCTTTGGGTGTTAACTGTGCCTGGGCATGGGAGGGAGAGAAAGAGAAGCGCTAACTGACAATTGTCAGCACGCACCCATCCTGTCCCTTACCTTGCACATAAGTTGTCATGTGATCCTTACAGCAAACTTATACTGTTTTAACCTATAATCCCCATTTTACAGATGAGGAAATTGAGACTCAGAGTGCTCAGTTGAACTTGAGCATTGTTCAAGGTCATACAGGATTCTAGAACTGGTTGGATCCAGTTAGCAATACTTTTTATCACATCGAAGACAAAGGGCACAAAGGGCAAACCTACCCTCGGGGACTTCAAGATAGAATAAAAATTAAATTGCTTTGAATAACTCGGCAGTACAGAGTTCTCAGTTGCACCTGGCATTTCTTCAGGGTGCCTGAATGTCATCTGTTCTAAGAGAAAAGTCAAACAAACAAATAATCATAAGCCAACAAAAAACAAAACAAAATGATTCGTAGCCCACCAGGAAAATCTCCTATAACCCTCTCGGCCAAGTTAGAAGTTTTTTCAGAAATGAAGTGGAGTGTTTTACATAACACCAAACGTACCACAGGAGTGGAGGAAAATTAACCCCTCCATGGCACATAGGTTTATTTCAGATATGGAAATAAAGCTTAGGCTGTACAAAGAACATTTTGGCAAAAAAAGAGATATAACCCCCCAAGAAGACATTAATCCTTTTGATCATCATTTATGTTAAATAAAATGTTGAAAATAAGCCCAGAACCCACAAGATTATTTGTATGTACAACAGTATTGTTTATAAAAAGCGATAAACAATATAAGTTGTATTGCAAAAAAACTGTGTGATCTTGGGCAAGCCACTTAATTTCTCTAAGCCTATAAAATTAGGTGCTCTGTAACGAAAACCCTTCCAGGTCTGAAGTCTGTGATTCTTCAGTGCTCAAACCCAATCAGCCTAAAGGGCTCAGTCAGACTCATGATTTTATCAAACTACGTTTTAAAAACTCATACTAATCATGTCCTGAGTTCAAGGCCCATTTGCTATCTGTTGTTTACAGGAAAGAAACCGGCGTTTTCTGACAAGGTAAGCTATCTCCCTGTGTGTGTGTGTGTGTATGTGTGTGTGTGTATGCGTGTGCGTGTATGTGCGTGTGCGTGTGCATGTGTGTGTGCGTGTGTGTTCATTTTGCATCTTGTCATTATTCTTTGAAAAGTCTTGGGCACTCATCTGTCTTCCTGCTGTCTTACAGCCCTCGATTCCAGCAATTCCAGTGGGAAGGTAAGACCATCTGTTGCATTTAGGTGAGGGCACACGGGGTATATTGTAGAACTCTGTCACTGCAGTTTAGTTTGTTTCTCACACATCCTTTTTCTGTACTCTGCAGGCCTCTTGGGGAGCATTTACCCAAGATACAAAAGCCTCCTTTACCACCAACCACAGAAAGACATGAAAGAAGTAGCCCCCTGCCAGGGAAGAAGCCACCTGTGCCAAAGTAACTGTCTTGTGTTGCTTGCACTTATTCAAACAGAGTGCATGATCCTGGAAACCTGCCTAGTGTGAGCTCTATGCTGGGAACTGAGAGTCAGCGGCGCTGTGGGTGGGAGTGGGCTCCTTTTGTTGCTGTGGCTTGAGGAATGTTCAGGCTTCTCAGGGTAGATATGAAGTACCAGCATCTCTTTGAAGAAACTGGGACTCTAGCTGAGAAATGAGTGACATGCTTAATCAGGAGTATGACTGCTGTTTGTGGAGACTTTGTCTTCAAACAGTCAGATTTTTGGTGTTTTCCTACCTTGTTAGAGCAAAACCTTCACAATGCGTATAGAGATGTACCTACCATTTTATTTTTCAGTGCAGGTAGCAAAGAGAAAATAATTGAAGGCGGTTTTTAGGTCACTGTAAGAGTCTACTGCCCAACCACATTTTATAATTGCAGAATACTGAGGTCTGCGCTAGTATTTCTAACCTTACTATAAAGTCATTTTGGGCCTATTTACCAAATGGCACAAATGTATCTGGGTCAGGGCCAACCCTGCTACTTAAGAAGGATACAACCAACGCTTCTTTTGCTCTCATCTGTGATATCAGGATTCACAACTATCGCCCTTGCTTGGCTGTTGTGAGGATTAAATCAGGACCAGGTGTAGAGTGTGCCAGAAAATTCAGTAATCAAGTTTAATAACACTTTAAAGCAATATTTTGAAAATCAAAATGAACACAAAAAATCATAATGAACAAAGTATCAAATTTTTAAATAAACTCAGGGTGAGATGATGGTATAGGAAGCATCTGACACATACAGGGTCGTCAATGAATTGTCCTCCTCTTTGATCCCTCCCTAAAGAGAACACAACGTGGGCCCAGGCAGTACAGATGCCCACTGCAGCTCTGAGGCAGCTGTCACCAAAGCTGTGTGACTAGCTCGTTTATCTGGGCCAACCGCACTGAGCCCCCTCTGGGAAAATTCCAAAGCAGAAACGTTTTCCCCCTGTCTTCCCTTTGCATACAGGGGAAGCCCTGAGATGGCTGTTTTAAAACATCAGCAAAGGAGAATATTACCTAAAATGTTTTCATTTGTTTGGAGAAACATCTACTCAGTGAAATTTAATAGCTACTAAAGGGTTAGTTTGCTGACTAACCTTTCTTTTTTCAATAAATATATAATTATTTGCTGCAGTAGCTACTCAGAATAAAGGTTTGCCTAGCTCAGCTTGTACCGATCACAGAACATCGAGTACCCAAATCTCCCTTCCACTCCCTTCCTCTGCCTTTCTGCTGGGGCAAGCTGCTTCCCACCTTACCATGGCTCAGTGGATTTGATTTCTCATTATTGGATTAAGTGAATATATATTCTGAGGCTGGCTCTTGAAACTCTTTGTGCTCAATTCATTTTCTTTGCCTTGATTCATTTCAGGCACGGATGGGGATCAGACAGAAGAGAGAATGTAAGTATAAAATGTCATCTTGTAAATGCTTGGCAAAGGAAAAGGCAGTGCAGGCTCTGTGAGGTTGGGACTACATACATGCGTCTTGGCTTTCATTGAAGCCCAGTGCATGGAGCAGGGCCCGCACACAGTAGGCTCTTGAATACTGATGTCCGCGTCTTTGGGGTCTCGATCTTTCCCTTGAGTTCATCATGCTGTATTGCTTAACTCCATTCCTCTGAGAGCTTCCAGAGTGGCTGGGTTAATTGCAGCCCCATGACCAGGTAGTAGTTAGCAAGGTGAGACGGCAGGGAGCAGCGGAGACAATAAAGTGAGAGGTGCCCAACAGTCTAGGCCTCATGCCAAAGTTTCTAAGGCCTCTGTTGTATGACCTAAAAAGAGGGAAAATAGAATTTATTGAATGCTTACCATGTGCTCGTTGGCAGGGTGACCAGCTGTCCCTGATTACTGGAGCTCTCCCAGCTTGAGCATTGAAATTTCCACATCACAGCAACTACCTCAGTCCTAGGCAGACTAGGATGGTTGGTCACTCCTAGCTTTACATACTCTTTGCATTTAATGACCCTGTGAAGAATCATCCTTTTTCTTTTACTCAGAGGAAATTGAGGCTCAGAAGGGGTGAGATACTCATTGCAAGTTGTGCAGCTAGAAAATAGCCAGCGTTTGAATCCAGGTCTGTCTGAGTTTGTCTACACTACAAGCCTTCTGAAGGACATCAGACCCCTGCCTCTGTTCAAATGCTCAGCCCACAAGTGCCTGCTGTTTCCATAGCTCTGTGCTAGATGCTGTGCTTGTTCAAAAGAAGAGCTAAGATATTATGGAGACAGGCTCACCCACATCACACATGCTAAACAGCATTTGATCACGGAATGCTCTGTGGAGGCTAAGGGAAGAAAGTGATCTGTGTGGGTCAAGGAGCTATTTAGAGGAGGTGAGATTTATGATGGTTATTGAATGATGGGGGGACATAGAATAGTCACTCTAAGAGGCAGCCAAAGTGCATTCCAGCCTCTGGAATGTCCTGAGCAGTTGGATAGCAATGCCCGTGGAGCCTGCAGGGACAGCAAGGACAGCAGTGTGACTGCAGGGACATAGAGACATATGCGGGTAAGGTTGGACAGTGAGGGTAACATCACATTCCTGAGGTTCCCAGTCTCTAGAAGGCTTGACACTTGCTGTCATGAGAATATGGGTGTTGTATATTCTTGACCCAGAGAGGACACGGTTGCAACAGTGTCAAAGAGCAATTTTACTGTGTGGATTCATGAGCCCAAGTGCATTTACTTGTGCAGCTCTCTGCTGGGACTCCCATTTGGCCCATTGGGATGAGTGATTCTGACTGTGGTCCTAAAGAGCAATTTTACTGTGTGGATTCATGAGCCCAAGTGCATTTACTTATGCAGCTCTCTGCTGGGACTCCCATTTGGCCCATTGGGATGAGTGATTCTGACTGTGGTCCTTCTTGCCTTGTCTCAATGCGTAGTAGGACTAATGATAGCTAACTTTTAGTAAAGAGCACTTAACATATGCCAGATACACGTAGTAACTAACTTAATCCTTGCAATGCCACTTTGAAGAATGTGCTATTTCATCACCTACTGGTCTGGCCTAACAAAACAAATCTAAGTTGAGCTTTTTGGTCTACTAGTCAATGGCAAAATCATTTTGTCCCTTTGAACTGCATTTCTTATCTGAGAAAATAGTCCTTCCCTTGTCTATTTTGCAAGGTTGCCCTGAAGATAAAAATGGGCGGGTTGTAGATGTACCTCGTAAACCACACTATAAATAAGTAGGGTGGTGTCACTACTAAGAAGAGCAGCCATTGCAAACGAGGGCCAAAGAGAAGGCTGAGCTTTGGGTCAGACAGATTTGGGGTCAAATCCATTTTATACCCCTTGGCGAGGTAGGAATCCTTCCTGAGCATCATGTTTCCATTTGTAATATGAGGATGTTAAATTCTTGAAGAGTTGCTAGGAGAAATGAATGAAATGTTGTGTATGAATCTTTTTGGCACATTGTAGATATTGTCAATATTGTTACATCTTTAGGCCTTTTTAGGCACTTCAGAATCTATTTCATGCTAAGTACATGAGGAGAGTCTCAGATTGGAGTGTCCTTAGATGATAGTTTATGGTAAGAAATCATAAACCTCTTAGCAAGTTTTAATATTCTCCATAATGTATTTATTATGAAGAGGCATAACTGCTAAAGAAACAAAGTGACATTTATTTCATTGAGAAATGCAGTTTTTCTTTTAGTCACTGTATTTCGATAAGTTAATATCTTTTTTTTCTTAAACCTCTTAGCAAGTTTTAATATTCTCCATAATGTATTTATTATGAAGAGGCATAACTGCTAAAGAAACAAAGTGACATTTATTTGATTGAGAAATGCAGTTTTTCTTTTAGTCACTGTATTTCGATAAGTTAATATCTTTTTTTTCTTTTTTTCTCCTTCCCAGGATGAAGATGATGGTATGTTCAGAAATGCTTTCTTACAACTTATAACTCATTCTTTTATTTTTCTGCTCAGGCATTCAAATGGAGTCAGTTAGTACAGAAACCCCATAGAATCAATTATAACTGTTAAATTAGTATTAAGTAAAATTATACCAATTGGTATATTGCATAACTGTAGTAAAATGGAATTGTTTGATTTGGTGATCAAAGAGAACTGTTATGTTCATGGGTAACAATGCAGATTACTTAATTGTACAAAAAATTAAAAATTGCACATAGGATTTGATAATTTTTTTTAATATTATGCCCTCTAACACATGTGGGTAAAGAATCAATAACTGCAGATGAATGAGATAGCATAAAATTTTGGCTTTCATAAAACAAAACAAAACTTGTGAATCATTTCTGAAATTCATAAGGTTTCCAGTTGACAATTTTCTGACAAGTTAGCATTTCAAAAATTAAAAAAATAAAATAAGCGTGTATTACGGAGAATGATATAGAACAGCATTTTAAAAATATATTCTAAGGTGATAAATCATCTAGAAAAACCTTGGAGGTAGGGTTCCATCCTACCACTTCCTAATTATATCTGATCTTTTGGATTTTTGAATCTCTCTTTATACAAGCTATTTCTAACAAGGGAGCAGTTCTGGAATGTTCCTTAGTAACACTTGGATCCTGACAATCTCCTCAATGTTTTTCTACTTCCCCACAGTGCATCAAAGACCTTTGCCCCAGCCAGCACTACTTTCTATGAGCTCCAATACTTTCCCTTCAAGATCTACCAAGCCAAGCCCCAAGCACTCTCTCCCTTCATCTCACATGCCTGGAGCATTCTCAGAAAGGTTTGTGGCTATTTCATTAAATTCTAGCTTAATATAACACCTGGGTCCACCAACACTGACTTAATGCCAGGTGGGTTGAGGAAGAAAGAAATGAACCAGTGGGCAGCAGTGTATAAACAATCTGGGTGTTAAAAAACAAAACCAAAGTGAGCACTGAGAACAGCATGTTAATCTACCACTGTCCTCTGAGTCTCTGCTTGGGGTAAGAGGGGGACAGAATTGACTTCCCCATGATCACCCCAGATAGGATGGATCCTTTGGCAGAAAATGGAGAATGTTTTCACTTTGTGAGTTCGAATAAACAAGCAATCGTTAAGAAACCCAATTAATTTAAGTACTTAGAGTTCATCTTGCATCTTGGATGGGCAAACTGAGAAAATGTGCCTTGCATGTAGCAGATGCTAAGACTTCATTGTGTGAGCTCTGTCCCTAGCAAGTCCATTTTCTGAAAGTCGACAGCATTTTTCAGAATTCATAATAATGCTGTCCGAGGCACAGGCATGAACAGGATAAAGGCCCAGGTCATTCTTCCCCAAATAAGCCTCTTGCTGTCCCCAAGGCCTCCAGCTCTTTGGGCTCACCCTTTCCTTTAATATTCAGAGGGAGAAGCCCAAGTTCCCACCCTACATATTGTAGAAAACTCAACCACCAGCACGACCTTTCCACCCCGCCAAATAACTGGAAGGATTCTTAAACTTTTTCATTTTCTCTGGGTGCCTCTTGCCCTGATTTTCTGCTGCTTCTCCTCATTCTTCTAGCTGTTTTTCTTCTTTTGCCAAGTCTGCTGTTTTCTCATGTTGCTTTATCCTACACTGGGCCCCAACTCCATCCTTCATTCTCACAAAATGCCACTTGCCTGAGGTTGCTGTGCAAACTACACTTTTACTAAAGGTTTGGGCGAATGCGTGGGGAGTTACTGTGCATCACGGAGGGAGCAGACAGCCCAGACTCCCCACAGACCCTTCCTCCCCACCCCAGCCCCTGTTAATGCTGACGCTCTCTGATGCAGCACCATCTCCTTGCAGACCACCAGGCCTTGGGAATCACTGTTCACAAACAAATGCCCATTCATGTATTTTCCTAGCAAAAGAGAAGTCCTCTCCCACCATTTCTGCTGTTCTCCAAACTCAAAGACCTCAACCTGCTAATAACTTTTTAAAGTAACTTTTAAGTGCTCTTTATGTGGTTTTATTTTTGTTGTTTTTTTGGCTTACGAAATGTGTTAGCTCTCGGGACAGTAGTGAAATATGTCTGGTAAGTTTCTTCCCTTTGCCCAGTCCCCCTGGTATCACGGAGGGGGTGGGAACTAATAACAAAACAAGAAGCACTGTGGTCTAGCTTCCTGACCCCAGTTCCCCTATCTGGCTCCATCACCCCAATCCAACAAAAATACATTCTTTTCTGTCTCCACAGTAACAGTTTTCCACAGAGCGCCTCCCTGCCGCCATACTTCTCTCAAGGTTCGTACTCTGGGCTTTGGTGACCTACCCCAGCCAACATGACTTTCTGACTGGATTCTCAAACTGTCCCAAAGCCTTTTGGCAAGGGTTCTGTTGTTCCCTAAAAGCATCTGACTTCCTCATTCAGCATTTAATTCAGCATTTGCAGTGTGCCCAGGGCTGTTGGAATGATCAGATACTATAAAAAATACTACATGCACACACACTTCACTAGGAAGCCAGGCCTAATCCCTAATCTTCCTAGGAGGGCTACTCCTACCTGCTGTTTCCATACAGAGCCCAGAACAGTGCTTGGTTCTCTCTGTAGTTAGTTTTAGGTTTCCATGATGAATCTGCCCTTGGGTTGTGAGTTGGGGAGCATGTTTAAAATACAGATTAAAAGAATCCCATCTCAAAGATTCTGATTTAGTAAGTCTGGGTTGAGACCCAAGAACCTGAATTTGTTATAATACTGCCTCTGGCTGTTTGCTTAAATTTAAATGTGCATACAAATCACCTGGGAATTGTGTTAAATTGCAGATTCTAATTCAGTAGGTCTGGGTTGAGACCTGAGGTTTGCATTTCTAACAAGTTCCCAAGCAATGCTGATGCTGCTGGCCCAATTTGAGTAGCAGCAAAGGCCTACAATGTAGGACTAGATTGTGTTTATTTTTTTATATTTAAAGCTTTGCAAGTGACTGGCACATGGCACTTTTTAAACTCCTGTTGAATGATTGTCAAATGACTATGGAAAGTTATCCAACTCTAGTAAGTAAATATTTACCATGCTGGGAAACTGGCCTAGTGTTGCCAAAGTTTCTATTTCTTTTTAAAAGAAAAGTTGAAAATATGGTCTTTAATGTGAAATTACCCAATTTTTAAATATTGACTTAAATTATTTAAAAAATGCTGTGAAGAACACTTTTTTCTTTCTTTCTTTCTTTTTTTTTTTTTTTTTTTTGCAGTCATGGTCCATGAGCAGAAACACCAGTGTGTGTGTTTTAAATAGAAAGCTATGTTCATGAGTTTGAATTACAGCTCAAGAATAAACATTTTATCAAGAACACATCTATGGTATTCAGTTGGAGACATCAGTTAACGTATGGATGTTGTCCCACTGCTGACACCAGTGACACCCACTAAGTTTTCAATATTTTCTAAGCATTTGATGTTATAGTGTCCACATTCACCATATGTTTTCCCCAGTTTTCTGCTCCTCCCCCTTAATTTTCCACAATCCCCCAAACTCAATGTTTTGTAAACACACATTTGTGTTACCTGCCTGGCCCCAGTAGGCATCTGAGTTCCAACTTCACTTACAGCAATATTTCCCAAAGTACATTCTACAGATCTCTGATTTTATGAGTTGGTGATGAGGATTAGGAATGCAAATGGTTACATATTTTTTGGAATACTACCTTAATCAAAATCGATCCCCTTTCCCCCAAGACTTCCAGGACTCCTTGTCCTCAGTCTTCTCAACTGGCTGCTCCAATGTCAGGAAGGTAATGGTTGTGTTGTGCATTGTCCAAAAATCTGTTACAACTTCCTGGAGAATCTAGATATTAAGGGTGGTGAATGACTGCAATAAAAATATATGTTTTGAATCAAGACTTTATGGTGCTGGGCTGCAGGTGCAGAAGCAGAAAGAGACTAATTCTTCAACTCTGAAACAGCCATGCAACACAGGCCTTAGTTCTGTTACTCTCCTATATTATTAGATTTCATTCATTCAACAAGCATTATAAAAGTGTAAAAGTGTTAGACAGTAAAGGTGGGGAGGAGGAAGGTCTATTTAGGCATTGGGAACCTGGAGGAGGAAGGCACTGGCAGCTCATGGCCAGCCTTATTTGCTTATTTACGTAATAACTTCGTATAGCATACATTATACGAAGTTATACGATTTTAAAACATCAGCAAAGGAGAAAGCAATATTTCCTAAAGTACATTCTACAGATCTCTGATTTTATGAGTTGGTGATGAGGATTAGGAATGCAAATGGTTACATATTTTTTGGAATACTACCTTAATCAAAATCGATCCCCTTTCCCCCAAGACTTCCAGGACTCCTTGTCCTCAGTCTTCTCAACTGGCTGCTCCAATGTCAGGAAGGTAATGGTTGTGTTGTGCATTGTCCAAAAATCTGTTACAACTTCCTGGAGAATCTAGATATTAAGGGTGGTGAATGACTGCAATAAAAATATATGTTTTTGCTCCAATGTCAGGAAGGTAATGGTTGTGTTGTGCATTGTCCAAAAATCTGTCACAACTTCCTGGAGAATCTAGATATTAAGGGTGGTGAATGACTGCAATAAAAATATATGTTTTGAATCAAGACTTTATGGTGCTGGGCTGCAGGTGCAGAAGCAGAAAGAGACTAATTCTTCAACTCTGAAACAGCCATGCAACACAGGCCTTAGTTCTGTTACTCTCCTATATTATTAGATTTCATTCATTCAACAAGCATTATAAAAGTGTAAAAGTGTTAGACAGTAAAGGTGGGGAGGAGGAAGGTCTATTTAGGCATTGGGAACCTGGAGGAGGAAGGCACTGGCAGCTCATGGCCAGCCTTATTTGCTTATTTAGAAACCAGGAAGGCCATCTTAAATAATCCTAGTGACATGGCTCAGGAGACTTCAACCCATCCCAGGTGACTCTCCTCTCCTCAGTAGTGTAACAGTATAGATGTAGTAATAGTCCTGGTGCCAGATCACCTGGGGTGCTTTTCAACATGCAGATTCCTGGGCCCTAGGTGATTCAGAGTCCCCCAAGGATTCTTACTTATGCACAGTAATGTTTGGAAACCACAGGTTCAAGTCTTGGCCTTGCCACATGATTTGCTTAGGCTCTTTGAGCCAGTTTTCTTGTATGCAAAATGAAGATAATACCCACCTTGTAATGTTGCTGTGAAGATTAAAGGTAATGTACATGAAGTGCCTTACTCAAGACCTGGACAGAGCAGTGCTGAATAAATATTTGCCAAATGAACAAAGAATGATGGATGAATAATTAAGAGAACATTCAACTAACATAATTTTTCAGTTTTTAACAGCTGTGCTGGCACATAGAAAACAGCCTTGGCAATTACAAGTAAACACAATCAAACCTTTTCTGAGACGAGGAAACACATTCTTGTAAAGATTCGGGGAACTGTAAAGAAAAAACAATTTTAAAGAAAGTGAGGCACAAGTGTTGGGTTATTGATAAGTATCCAATGGAGACTTCCTGATTGATCAGATAATCTGTAATGCCTTCTATGTGACTTGAACAAGTTATACTTCTTTAGAACAGTACGTAGTAAACTTTGATTCTAAAAGCTAACAATATTCTCAAGGTAATTTCATCTTGTCTTGGGAAACTTACATTTCTTTTTGTGAAAACAATGAAGACATAATTATCTTTATTACTGCATTGTCACTACATCAGTGATTGGCAGTCCATTGTGACGGTGCTGTATTACAAGAATCTATGAAATATCTGTCTCTTGAATATTCTTTTTGATGTTCACATTAAAACAATTTTGACTATTTCATAAATGGATCTGGTCACTATATTATGCAACATGCACATGTAGGAAATTGCTCAGATTTGAGGTTCTGCTCTCAAAGTTTTACTGGCATGGTCACAGAATAATGCCTGAGCAGCCCTCATGGTTTTGAGCAGGTAAAAAGTATTTTTGAAGCTTGGTTTCTTGATAGGCTAATTATTGGAACAATTGCAAGGGTATTTTGGAAAAAAATGTGTTATGACAGAAATAAACAATAGCTTACAGTGAATTAACTTTCAGAATGCTATGCTTTTAAAGGCCCTACCAACAGACCACTTCTCAGAGCTGAAGGCAGAAACTTTCCCCTGCCAGTTCCAAGCAAACCTCCACCACCGTCCCCTGGGGAAGAAGAGGTAATAAAGCATATGTTTTATTTTTGTTCCCCCCCCAGCAAATGAATCATCAGAAATTCCCATTGAATACTGTTTTGTACTTTTATCTTCTACTAGTTTTATTTTATTTTTAAATTAAAGGAGAGGATCCAGATGAAAAATAGTTCTTTCAGATTCTTCCAATGGCAAATGTGTTTTGCATTAAACAAAGAGAAAAATAATCCTATCTTTCATGTTTCCTAGCTTATGACTTTGCTAAGTCACTTAACTGCTTGTTGATCCAGTTTTTTCATTCAGCATGTTATTATGAAGAAATTATTGTATCTGAAGAAATTATTGTATCTGTATCTTTCCTGATTAGAGGTTCCATTATACAAGGAATGCTTATTCACAGCTACCTTTGCAATCGGTGTCATGATAAAAAGCAGTTCACACAAATTATCTTCTATTAAGTCCCCCCTAAATGATTCTATACTCAAATTAAGAAAACAAATGTCTCAAACCTCATGGAACTGAAGTAGTGATTTATGGAAATTATTACTTGGAGGCTTTTCTTTTCACTTATATATGTAACTGCAACATTTATTCAGTTTTAAAAAATTTACATTTTCAGAATTCATTAAATGAAGAGTGGTACGTTTCTTACATTACCCGACCAGAGGCAGAAGCTGCTCTTAGAAAGATAAATCAGGTACTGTGCTGTAGTTTATTTTTAAGTAGTTATAAATATTAATAGAAGGAGAAGGGAACTGTCTTTTATTGAATACCAATTATGGGCTACGAATTCTGCTGGTACTGTTCTACTGTTATACCTAGGAGACCCGTTAGTGCCAGTGATTCCTGGACTCTGAAAAAAAATATATCGAAATTAAGGCAGTCATTTGGCTGAGGAATCTTAGAAGTTTATTAACAAAAACGTTCTGTCATAGGAATTGTGCAGTGTCAAAAGGAGACTTTTATTAACAAAAACGTTCTGTCATAGGAATTGTGCAGTGTCAAAAGGAGACTCCCCAAATTTCCAAAATCTTACCAACTACATTTTCCTTTTAACACACAGTCGCTATCCACTTCAATGTGAAGGGATCCATATTGAGAGAGACAGCAGCAACTTTTTGCCCTTTCCCCTAGAAATTTCTAGCCTATTCTTCAATATTATAAGGTCTTAACCAGATTCCCTGTGGCCTGTTGCCAAACCTTAACCTTAAATCTGTATGTCTGAGAAGGGAAAGCAAAGATCTTTTATCTTTTACATCTGAAGTCTACAGCAGCAGTTCTCAAGCTTAGTTGCACATTTTTATCACCTGGGGAACCTAAAAAGAATCCTGATTCTTGAGTCTCACCTGGAGAGATTAGTCCAGGGTATTGTGTGGGTTCTGTGAGTCTTCAAAACTCCCTGGGTGATTCTAATTTGAAGCCAAGGCTGTGAGTCACTAGTCCAGAGGTATGATTGTTTAACAGAGATGTTCTGACTGGCTCAATTAACTTGGAATAAAAAGAACAAAGGAAAGACATTATTGCAGATTGATGGCTATTTAAAACTACCCTGATTCAGTACACAGAGGAGAGTAGCTTAAATGAGTTTTTACTAATTAACTCTATTTTAATGTTAGTATTTTTACAGTGTTGATATTATGTAGCAATAATTTATTGAATAAAAAGGTAAAGTACAGGACAAATTACAACACTAGTTTAGTAAATATCAGAAAAAAGGGTGGTAAGAACACAGTCCACATTCAATTTTGTTTGGGTGTGTGATGGATGAAACGCTGTATCTGATGTTGGAAGTAGGGTCGTGGGGTGAATAGTCAGCCTCAACCCACCCAGTCCTCTTACCAGCTTCTTGACCCTACCGCAGGAAAGAATTCAAGGGCAGAGTTACAGTAGACAGTGAGCACAAGTTTAATAAAATAGGTAAGAAATACAGGTTCCACAGAGAGAGTGTGGCATGCTCCAGAGATGCAGCAGGGCCCACACCAAGTTTAACACAAAAGTAAGGTCAGTACAGACATCAAGTCTAACACCAAAGCAAGAAAAACATACTTAAAGTTCAGTACAAAGTGCATGTTGGCTCAAGAGAATGAACAGCTGCTGCTGAAACTAAGTGCCAGCTGCCTCCAGGAAAGTGAGCAACAACAGCCCTTCCTTTGGCTGGGATTCGGCTTTTATAGTTTCTCTATCTAATGAATATTCAATTAAGGGGGTGGTTCCCAGTTGTACACATCAGGATGTTCTGTGCATGCCCAGCCACTGGATCCTTCCTTTGGCTGGGATTCGGCTTTTATAGTTTCTCTATCTAATGAATATTTAATTAAGGGGGTGGTTCCCAGTTGTACACATCAGGATGTTCTGTGCATGCCCAGCCACTGGATTGTATAAGCCCACCCCTGTTGTCTCATTTTCCTCCTGTTGGTGCTAAAAATAGGTCTAACAGGCAACAGTAACTTTCCTCCAGGGGAGAACTCAGAGGAGGGGGCCTGAGACTTCAGAAGTGGCTGGAAACCCAGAGGCATGTCCTGAAACCCAAGCCCAGGGAAACTGAGCACATCCTGTATTATATCTACAGGTCAGGAGGTTTTAAAAGGGATGAATTTCATAGTCACTTGGGTGTTTTCTGACTTTGGATGTAGAAAGAAAAGGTTAGAGAATTAGCCCACAGGAGTAGAAACATCTATCTTGAATTAACCAGTAAAGTCCTTATTACTCCTGGCCCTTTATCCACTCAACTACCTATTACAGTATTTGTTTTATCACTGAAAAAATATTTCTTTTTCATTGGGACTTCAGAGAGTTGACTTGGAAATTTCTCTGATATATAGTCTCTGCTGGCTCTGTCTTGATAACCTAAAAATTCATGACACATAAGATCTATAGCTGTTTGGGGAATTGAATGTTGTTGCCTGACAGGTTTTGCAGTCAACGAATTGCAAACTGAAACTGACAGGTTTTGCAAATCCCTAGAGGCTTGTCTATTGCTGTTATAGGCAAGGAAAGTATTGAATTTTACTGCTCCCATAATAACAAGAGTTTATCCTTTTAGGATGGCACTTTTCTGGTTAGAGACAGCTCTAAAAAAACAGTAACCAATCCATATGTCCTCATGGTGTTGTACAAAGATAAAGTTTACAACATCCAGATCCGTTATCAGGAGGAAAGTCAAGTTTACTTGTTGGGAACTGGACTTCGAGGGAAAGAGGTAAGGACTTCAAGTTTCAAAATTTCTCCAAATTCTCTATTTATGCCTCTCTGTGCACCTTCTTGAAGCCTCGCTGCAACATTCTTTGGTAGTCCATAATGTATGGCAATTTTAGAGTTAAATCATATTAGTGAAGCTCTTTACTTATTGCAAGGAAAATAAAGCAAAATGGCTACCTCTGCCATAGGAATCTTTCGTATATCTTTTATTCCAAATAGTCTAAAATCACATGTATGACTTTTAAAATCAGGAAAAAAAAGTTAACATTTACATTTTCAAAAAAATCCAGTTAGATGGCGTCAAAGACAAGTCCCTTCTATTACTCACCTCTGTGACATAATTTTAATGTAAGATTGCAGTGTACTTATAGGGCTGTATTTTAATAGACACCACTTGGGAAAGGGGAAAAGTACAATACTCGCTGTGGTCATTATTTTGATACTTGGGTCATTTCTTACTAAAAATGGAGGTTTGGCTCTGTGAAGATGGCTAAATTCCAAAAAAAATTTTCTTCTGTTAGGCCAAGGTTTAGATTCTCATGCCAGTCACTTTTTGGGTAGTAATCAGAACTGATATGAAAGAAACCCTTAGGGCTGCTTTTTGCAAATGAAACTGACAACCAAAGTTAATGCCCAATACATGCTTAGGTTCAAAGTTCCAGGAGGAGGACTAGCTGAATCAAACATTTTCGGAATGAGAAAGAGCTTACCCATAACTTCCACTTCACTCCAGATACTTTTAAGTTATGATAATGTTAATGAGTAAAAAAATCATAATTTTGGTCAAATATTTGGATCACTTTTTTGCTGTGGATAGAGTTGCATAGGTCTTATAGAAGCAGAGGTATCTGTCCACTAAGATTGTGCAAGCACACAAGTACATACCACTAAATTGCAGCTGCCCAGAAGGAGGCACCTCGCAGATTAGTCTTGGAGGAAATGCATAATTCTCTTTGTGTTACGTAGGTGACTTCTGTCCCATACCTAGAAGGACAAATGGGGCTTTTCCCAGTCTGGCCATCAGGGATAGGGTGATCCAGGCTATGAATGCAAAGACTTGGCTACTGAGCCCTTGAGAATGTGGAAATGGCAGTGGAGACACAACAGAAACTATTGTGCTACACTATAGATACCACCTCTAGACATTGTAGACAATGTCTGACCTCCCGATTCCTTATACCTCCTAATACTATTAATGATTGCGAGTGAAGTAGGGATACAGGAACCAAAACCAAAAGCAGAAACAAATAGGGCAACCCCAAGGCAAGGGTATCATAATCAGAATATTTTGGGTAAGTGGCCCCCTATATGAATATATACATACACACATACACATACATAAACATATTTTGTCTTTTATCCATGTTTTGTTGGATGTTTGTGAGGATTTTTTTTTCAAAATCCCATGGCAGAAATCATTAAAATATTTGCTACATTTTACATGTTTTTTCTTGCAATCCTCATAACTTGAAGAGGTAGCATATATTATGCAGATAAAAAAATTGAGGGTGAAATTCATGCTATCCATTCCAATGTTGACTTATCTCTCTATTTTGGTGCTTTCAGGACTTTTTGTCTGTGTCAGATATCATCGACTACTTCAGGAAAATGCCACTTCTGCTCATTGATGGGAAAAACCGAGGTTCCAGATACCAGTGCACACTAACACATGCAGCAGGGTATCCATAGCAAGTTAGCCAAGCAAATGAACCTTCTTCCTGCCTCTGTTGCCAACATGGGAAGATCGATCAACATTGGTGAACGGACAAACACTTAGACTGAATCCAACCCCTCAACATGAACACTGTTTTTTTTTTTTTTTCTTTTCCTTTAAAAACTGTGTTTGAAATGAAGACTGTCAGTTATCCCATAATTTATTTATTCTTCTTCAATGTTTGTAAAGTGCATGAGTAATAATGTTCCCACTTGAAGATTAATAGTGCAGTGTAATAATTCATTTTTTTAAAGTGTATTTTTTGAATACCCATTTCAAAGTACAGTAGTTTATACAGCTATAGAAATAATTTGTCCCTAGTTTAAAAACACTGAAACAGTAAGTTTTTGGTATCACATAAAACTGATATTTTTAATAGCCAAACCTTTGTCAGAGTCAATCATCAGTTTTATACATATAATTTGAAAATTACAGCAATAATTTAAGAAGCTTCAAAAGTATAATTTCATTCTTTCTCATTTGGTGTTTTTTGCTGGGGGGATTTTTGTGTACCTTTTTCTGGAATAACTTTCTGGGATTAAAATTTTCTTTTGCTTTACTTTTGGGTTTCTAAAACAACTTCATTGACTTTATTGTCTAGTCCATACTATTGTATTTTTGTTTAAAAGCAAATTTAAGTTACAGATACCAAAAAGCATTTTCAATTTAGAGATGAGGCTTTGGTGTCAAATATAACTGGGTGTAAGTTGGCACTCCATCACATCCCCACGCTCACACTGCACAGCCCCCACTCCCCCTCCAACTTCAAAAGCATGTCCAGTGATGTAGATTTTACCAAAGACTTCTTGGGAAGATGAAAGAGCCATGCTTATGCATAGGGAAATTTTATCAGACTTTATTAGATACTGCTCTTCTCTTTTTATCCCCTGACAGCTCCATCATAAGCCTTTTCTCATCCTTCCCAAATAGGCTCTATAAACCCTTCAAAGCAGTTCAACTCTTTCCTTCAGTTTACAAATCTCACTTAACAAAAAGGAGTAGGCATTTAGCAAGTGAATATCTGGTATTCGGCAAAACAGGGACAATTGGGTTGTTTTTCAAGTTTTTCCCCTTAGTTATAACTTTTATTAACAAAATTTTTTTTTGGCTTCTCTGCTTAACCTATGATTCTCTGAGTGAAAAATAATATCTTGCATCATCTTCATCTTCATGAACTAATAAAAGGACAATTAGAATGAACCTAAGAAGTCACCAGGTTAAAACTAAAAATATGCTAAGATAAGGAGTATGTGGCATGTGGGGACTTTTAAATAATGATAGAAATGGTGTTTCACAAGACCTCATCCTTGCAAACCTGTTCTCAATTTAGGGTCTGTATTAGTCTGTTTCTGTTGTTTATAACAAAATATTTGGAACTGCGTAATTTTTAAGAAAACAAAATTTATTGCTTTCAGTTCTGGAGGCTGGGAAGTCCAAAGTCCAGGGAACACATCTGGTGAAGGCCTTGGTGGTAGCAATAGTGACTCAGGGGTATCACATGGCAGAAGTGGCAGAGCAGAGAGAGGGGGACTCTCATGCACTCTCCTTTTAAAGCCCTCAGAACCACACTCATGAGCACCATTATTAATCAGTTCACTATGGCATAGTAATCACAATCTAATCACCTCTCCAAGGCTCACCATTCAACTACCACAATAGGATTTCCCACTCTCAGTTACAGTGGGGATTAAGCTTCAATGACTTTGGGGGGCCATTTAATCCACTGCAGGGTCCAAAACTTGGGAGTTCAGAAGCTGAAAAACCTGCAGTCATTCACATTTATTCAACAGGATATCTAACGAGTATTTATTTATTGCCTGCTCTATGTTAAACACTGAGGTAGGTGCTGGGTACTGAGGAGAACAGGCACCACAAGTTCTGTAATGGAGTGAACTCAACTTGTATCTTGCTTCATTGTATTCTATCCTTATGTTCAAAAATACCTAAAATGAAAAACATGGTAGATTTCAAAGTAACTATTTGGTAGTGAAAGGCAAACCAAATGTTATTTTATTTCTAAGTATCTTGGTAGAATAGGACAGAAATTAGGAAGTTTTAGGGTAAAGTAGTTCTATTCACTGCTATGACTGAAATCAGTGGTGAGAATCTGATGTTTTCTTAACTGGCATTCTTTTTCCCTCTCTTCAAGTACTGGCTGAGCCTTGCCTATTTTGGCCACAGGCCTTGTATATGACTCCAGATGCTCAGAGCCCTGGTTAGTTGATAAACATCTTACCAAAGCTGGGCCGGTAAGGGTCCCTCTCTCTAATGTTAAACACAAAGGCTGAGACAGGATCTCTCTGTTCTCTGGGGTCCCCAAACGGCAGTGTTGTATTCTGGATGTTGTTTGCTGCTATGCTTCTATCACCTTCCACCCACTATGTGGAGGAAACCAGTCTATATTAGAGAAGAGGCCGGCACACAGGAACACAACTAATAGAGACATCAGATGAATTAGTAGAGCCCTTGAAATCTATTCCAACCATGGACTTCCAAGTCACGCAACCAATAAATGCTTCAGCTAGCTGGAGTTGTGTTTGGCACTTGCTACCAGAGGTATTCTGATTAATATAAACTCATACCGTCCACTAATAATTTAGTAACTCTCTTTCAATCTGAGCCAAATTCAGGCATAAGGTAAAAGGCAGCACAACATGGCCAATTTCCTAAATCATACTCTTGCCATTCGTGAAATAAATTAGCTATTTTTTAAAACATTAAAACAAGGAAACAGCCTTTAAGAACACGAAATGCTTATTTACAATTCTGCATTATTTTAATTTTAAATGCATTAAATATACTGTATTAGTAAACTCAGTTCTCCTAGATACTTGTTAATTCAATAATAAAAACAGAAATTCACAACAAACAAATAAGAAATCAGATAGAAAAACTGAGAGAAGCAAGGGATCTATCTGATATTTTAGACTCTTCAAAGAGGGGGTCGTTCTTCTCTGTTTCAGGTAAATCCTCTGTCTTCACAGGATGATTAAAATGTAGAGTAAGGTCACAAAGGAGTAACTGGGAGAGCTCTGTGTAAAACAAAATCACAGAAGATATTGTAGCACATATATCATAAACAACTATTATTGCTTTCAGTTGCTATTTCCTAATTTCTAATTTAGTTTTTTCCAAGTGATTGTTTATCAAACCACAACTTAGGGGTGCTCCATATTGACTTAAAACCAGATTTATATACTATAAAATAAGCACGACATAAAAATTTACTGTAATACAGCCTCAGTAACTTCCTGAGGGGGGGAAATTATATGTCTGAAAATTTTTCTCTCTACACTAATGCTCAATTAGTAGATTGACTAGCGATAGAAATCTAGGTTGGAAATCATATTTCTTCAGATTTCCAAAGGCACTGCTGCATGTGACTATAATTCTCAATCTTTGTTTTCTCTTCAGAAGTTTTAGAAATATTTTTGTTCTTCCAATATTCTAAAATTTCACAATACTGTGCCTTGGTATGGGTCTATTTTCATCTATTGTGTTGGGTTCTTTCATTGTAGAAACTTATGTATTTCAGCTCAGGGAAATTTTCTTAGATAATTTCTTTAATGAATTCTTCCTCGTCCATTGTCTATGTCCTAACACTCTTATTTATTGAATCCTGGACTTCCTTTACTTACCTTGTAATTCCTGCCTCCCACTCCTTCTCCCCCCACCAACCCCAAATACCTTCTAGTTCTGTCATTTTGCTCTTATACCCTAGGGAGATTTCTTCATTTTATCTTTCAACCCTTCTATAGAGTTTTTCATTTCTACTGTTACACTTTTAATTTCCAAGAGCTCCCTTTTCTCTAAATATTTTTTTTATAGTATCCCGTTTCTTTTTCATGGATATAGCATCTTCTCTTACTTCTCCATGGATATTAAATGGTAGTTTCTTGAAGTTTTCATCTCCCCTCATAATTTCTGTTTCTTCCTTATTGGTTGAATCTATTTATCTCTGCTTTTCATATTAGATGAGTTCCTCAAATAACTGCTGTGCCACAGTTTGCTCATATTTAAGACTGTGGCACTAAAAAAATAATCGAAAGCTCTATGCCTATGCTAGTCTATACTGTGGGATTATCTGGCTTATATTGTTATTTTGTTGGGGAAACCTCTGCTATCAGTAACTTTAGGTCTTTCTCTTAGGCTGGTTAGATGCCTGAAAGAAAAATATATTTGGAGGGCATAAACCTGACAGCCAGTATTTTGGTAGCCACATGAGAAAAGAAAGCTGGTGGTCTCCTAATTCACTATGTGATGCCTGAAAGAAAAATATATTTGGAGGGCATAAACCCGACAGCCAGTATTTTGGTAGCCACATGAGAAAAGAAAGCTGGTGGTCTCCTAATTCACTATGTAAACTTTGTCATACATCTTTGTTTTCAGTACAGTTCTCTCCTGCAACTTATGGCTAGTGGTTCCAGGCCAGAGATCCCTTACTTTAACCTCAAGTCTTCTGTCACAGAAGAGGAATATTTGCCCAGTTAGGTAAAAGGGGGAACAGACCTCAGGGATCTAGTTTCTTAAACATTTAATTAGTCCTGTTATTAGCCTTACTTTACCCCCTTACTTCCAGAGGATTCTGGTGTTACCATGTATGGAATCTTGGGGACTATTTCTTGGCTTTACCTAGCCATTCTTAGGACTCAGATTTTTGGAATTTAGGGTTCAGATTTGTTTATTTGCTTCCAATTGCTTTCCGTTTTGTTGTTATCTCTTCTTGCGATCTCTTTCCCTTGTGGATTTTTGTCTTTTTTGAATCAATTAAATTTAAATCTCACTTCTACTACTTACTAGTTGCTTGACCTTGGGAAAGTTAGTTAACCTCTCTGTATCTATTTTCACATCTGTAAATGCCAATGGTAATAGTTCCTACTTCATAGGGTTGATATGACAAGTGAATTCATTTACACAGAGTTCTTAGAAGAGTGCCTGGATCATGGTAAATGCTGCAAGCATTAGCTGTTGACATTATTATTTGGGAGATGAAGAGGGGGTACATGGAGTGTTTACTACAAGTCGGCCCTCCCAGTCTAGCTCTACAAGTCCCTCATATCCTAACTGCCTGACCTACCCACACAACTTTTCAGGAACACATTTATCATGAAAATTTCTATTTACTCCGTGAAAGAATACTCTCCAAACTAGAACAATTAGACAATCAAGTTTCAGCGGAATCTAAAGCTTCTCCAAGTATTTTAAATGAGTTCAAGTATCCAGAACTATTTATTCATTTAATAAACATTTTCCAAGAACCTATTATATCAAGGAACTGTGTTAAGTGCTAGGAATACCCTTAAGGAGCTTATAATTGAGCACAGACAGGAAAAGTAAGTAAACATGCAATTATAACACAGTGTGACAGGTGATATGAAAGGGCAGAAGGGATAACTTGCTAGCTCAGAAGTTTTCCGATGTAAGTGACCTTGACTAATAACTAGCAGTTAACCTGGTGTGGTAGAAGTGGGTTGTAGCATTGGGATTTCAGAAGGAGATGTATGTGTTAAGTCACAGACACAGAGAGCATGTGTGAACATATAAATAATTCAGTATGACTGGAGTCTAAAACATGTAGGAGACAAGAAAAAGGTAAGAGACTGGAGAGGTCATATAGTCCCTTTTAAGAGATTTGGACTTTATCCTGAGAACAACAGTGAGCCAATGAGGGTTTTCAGCAGATTTATATTTTAAAAAGAGAATCTTCATTGTAGTGTTGACATTAGTTTTGAGAGATAATGAATTAAGCAAAGCTAATCAAATTTCTTTACATTAGACTCTTCAGAGCCTTTGTTAATATGCACTGTGAATTTGTGAGAGAAATATATAGCATAAAGCACTTCCCAAACTTGTCTGACGATAAGAGCATAAACTCTTTTATTGCACGCCATCTATTAACATGTCTTGAGACAGCAGGGTTCACAGATCAAAATCTGGGAAATGCTACCCTAGGGAGAACACATGAAAAATGCATAACAGGCACTCACTATTTGGTACCTAACTAACAGCCACTCCCCTCTTCTTCTTGGTGGCACAACTTGATTCCATTTGAGGTGCTCTTCTCCCCAGCTCCAGCAGTAAATTCTGACTGGTCCAAACTGGTCTTGGCAGTCCCATTCCCTTTAGCAGTGGTTGCTGTAGGCATTTGCTTGTGATGCAAATCTGACCAATGAAAGGAAAGGGGAAATGTGCTGGAGGGATCTGGGGAAAGGCTTATATAAAGAGACTCAGGCAGAGATAATGTTTATATATAGCCACGTCTGAAGGTAATGACCTTGAGTAGTGATAAAGAGAGGGAACATGATGGAGTAGAAAAACAGTAAGAACCTGGTCCTGGATGAAGTTTTTAAGCCTCTGAGTTAACTTTAGTGCTGCCCTACCTTGGATCTTCTCATTCATTTCCTTATTGTAGAAGCCAAGTTAGGTTGGTATTTTGTTACTTATAGCTGAGGGCCTCATAACTGACACAGAAGCTATCTTCAATATCCAAGAGTTGTCATAAGAAGAAAAACCACATATTCACTGTAGTTTTCATTGTTAGAAATAGGACACATAGTAAAAGGAATAGGGGGCCAGATTTCAGCTAGTCCATAGGAGGAATTGTCTAAAATGGAATGGGTTAATCAGTGAGGTAGGGAGTTCTCCAACATAGGAAATGTTTGGTATGCGATAGAATATCCCTAAAAATATTCAATCATGGACATTTTATGTGCCTGGGATAAAATAGCAGAAAATGTCTGTGAGGTGAGTGACTCACAGACATAAAGATAAACATAGACATAACTCCTACTCTGAATCTGCTTAAAATGAAGAACACTTAACTCACAGAATCAAACTTATAATTTTTAATTTGGAATGAAACTTAAGGGATTACCAAGGTTTCATGGAGAAAGACACTGAATTTTGCAGAATGTGACATAATCATGTAATATTGCGTTGGAGGGAAGAAAGGGAAGTAAACTGAAAGAGGTTAGTTTGATAAGCTTTTTAGCATCAGGGATGGGAATTCAGGTCTGCTAAGTCTCAGGTCAATATTCAAACAATAATTTGTCTTTAGAAATCTAGTTCATATTGCATTGTAGACATTTCTTAAGAAATACAGAAATCCTAATTAGAGGGCAAAATTCAGTTACACCCCAGCAGAAGCACAAATTGGCTCTAATATTTATTTTATAACAATGTCATGCATACGTTTTAATTTAGTGATTCCATACTTACCTTTCATCTTCTTCAACTCCAAAGAAACTGTGTTAATGTTTTTAATTAGGGCTTCCATGTTCAGCTTATGGTCAGAAACATTATTCTTAAGCATCTGATTTTAAAAGAAAAACAAAAACAACATATAAATCAGAACTATGAGTAATGTGTACATTTAAAATTCTCAATTTTTCAGTATTTATCTAAAAGAAAAATCTGTTATTTCAGAACTGAAATAATTGTGAAATAAGTCTTTATAACTGGTTAGAATTCTAATATAGGAAAGTATGTTACATAGTATTTTTCCAACTGAAAACAACTCCAACTGGAATTCTTAGGATGAGGCTTCTTCTTTAATCAAACCATATCCACAAGATGGGGCCCTTAAAATAGAAATGAAGATGTCCCCTCTTCAGAAAGCATAAGCACTTATAAACTACCTTACAACTTAGCAATAGTGTGAGATCTCTAGTTTTATGTAAATCGGTGTCTTTTCTAACTTATTCTTGAATGACAGGGTCCACAATGAAACTCAAAATAGGATTTGATTGTAATTTGTTGACTAAGAGGATGGCAAAATGGCCACTTTTGCTTTGAGAGGGCAGCAAACATTTTAATTTCAGTTAACTGGAATGTATATATCAACGTGTTGCTATGTTTTATACATAGTACATGTATTTAACCAAGTGTGTTAACCAAAATACAAATACATAGAGAGGTGACTCAATAGAAATTAAGCCATTCAAATCTCTTAAAATGACTTGAGAAAATAAATCACAATTAGCACACACAACTCCAGCAGTGTGGAAGGTGGATGGTTATGGGTTGGGATGCTTGTTCAAAATAATGAAGACAAACTAACCTTTAAGTTAATCCTTGCCTCTGCCTTTTCCTGAACAAGGGAAATTTATCCTATTTCTCTCACTCTAGAACCACTGTAAAAGAAATAATTTTGTTTTCCAGACATCAATGAATCAAATACATTTTACATCCATATTCAAGCCCCTATACACTAAAAAGGGAGCGTTAGCTATCTTACTCGGGCATGCCAAACCAAAAGATTCAGGTTTGAGGGGAGAGGAAAGCTGAAAAAAAGGGAATGGGGTGGTGCAATCAAAGAACTTCAAAAACGAGGAATATATGTAACGTGCACACACACACACCCAGGAGAGCTGACTCCTCCAACTCTGGGGTCTGCTTATCCAGGGCCCTCGAGTGCCCAGTGGGTGCCTGACGTGGGAGAGCACAGCTTGGCCAGGCCATTACCAAGGCAAAGGAGCGGCCTGAGAAACAGTACTTCACCAGGAGGTGAGAAGTGGAGACCCGGCTCTGGGGGTCAGGAGTTGTAGGGGGGACAAAGGCCAAGGTGCAGTGTCCGACGGCATCGATGCCCTGAAGGCGCTAACCCCGGCCACAGGACGCAGCTCAAGCCCTCAACCCTGAGGAGCGGTTATTACCACTGCGGTTTTTATTCTGAAGGCCACATCCTCCTTCTCGGCCCAACCGACACCCAGGACGACCCCCGACCTTTGGGGGCCGCAAGGTGCAGCCAGCCCGCCCTACCGCCCACTCAGGGGCTGAAGAGGAAGCCTCGGCAGCCTGGAAGTTTCCACAGTCCTCGCCTCCCCAAACCCGATTAGGACAACGTAACACGCGCTCAGTGACCCCGGCCTGCGGACCACCACCGTCCCTGCCTGGCCCACCCAACCAACCGCCACTTCGTGACCCAACCATCACTGCAGAGGAGCCCCAGGCGCTTTGGGGGCCGCAAGGTGCAGCCAGCCCGCCCTACCGCCCACTCAGGGGCTGAAGAGGAAGCCTCGGCAGCCTCGAAGTTTCCACAGTCCTCGCCTCCCCAAACCCGATTAGGACAACGTAACACGCGCTCAGTGACCCCGGCCTGCGGACCACCACCGTCCCTACCTGGCCCACCCAACCAACCGCCACTTCGTGACCCAACCATCACTGCAGAGGAGCCCCAGGCCCTTGGGGGCCGCCAAGT